CATTGAACGCACCGAAATGTTGTGTGCCACTGAAACAAAAGTGTATGTTCAGTTGAATAAATAAAATAAAATAAAATCTTAATGGTTTAGAATAGGCTTTCTGGAATAGGCTTTTTAAAACCTAATAGTTTACCATCAAAATGTACTAAAAACAGAAAAGCTCACATAATTTGTTATCGAACACACATTTAATTATGAATTAAAATTTACAAAGAATTAGGATAAAACACCTTAAAATTTACGATAGAAATTGGGGTCAATAGTTTGTCAGTGCTAAAACTGGCGTCCGGTTGAACGCATTTTGTGTCGCCAATAGCAACGGAGTAGTATCACGTGATATCGTGGTATCGTGACGTAACACTGTAGTACTCTATATGGAAAAAGGAAAATGAGAGACTTTTCAAAAATATTAATAGATCATATCACATTACAAATGCTATTTATTATTGTTATTATTCAGATGTCGAAGTTTTATTCTTGTGACCAGGTTACATTGGCGGATCTGGGGGTGATGGCGCTTAGCAAAAAAAAAATTACGTTTGGTGCGGCGCTTATTCGAGGGCTTAAAATAAAGTTTACATCTTAGATTTTGAAGGCGAAATTACAAGAAAATACTGACTATTGTAATTGTTTGAGAATTGACGGTACTATAAATATATATATATATATGAATATATATGAGTATAATTTGCCAGGTGGTAAATTCTCTGTTATTTTCACAGAGTTGTTGACTATTAAAGGGCTTAAAGCCACGCAGAGTTCTCTTGGATGGGAGGGTATCCCAGTTAGAGCAATTGATGGTAACTTTGATACCAACTACGGCGAAAAAAGCTGTACTCGCACAAGTAAGTGCAAACACACGTTTGAAGCAATGATTTGAGAGGAACATAGGCCCTATGCCTAAAATAAAGTTACGGGTTCTTTTAGATTCACTAGAGCACCAATATTGACAATAATTAACAATAACATTAATATAGATAGATGATAACAATAACAATACTGTAATAATAATAATAATATAATAATAATAATAATAATAATAATATAATAATATCTTACAGTCTGTATCTGATATATTTAATAAAAATTGTATTCTTTTTCATTAATTGTTAGTCTTTTTTGTAATTAATTTTTAACTTTAAATTTGATGTAATTAAGCTATATGCTCCGTATCCAAAATCCAATGAAATTGAAATTTAAAAAAATTAAATATTATCAATAATATTTATACTAATAATAATATTATAATATTAGTATTAAACCTAATAGACGTAGTATTGATTCTCTCTAACATCTAGTGAAGCAACCTGCAAATTGGTGGATGGTGGATCTAGGAAAGTCCTACAGGGTTAAAGAAGTGAAAATTTACAATCGAGCAGGTATGTGTTCACGAGCACATTATAGGATGTTTCCATATACAATTTGCTAGCAATATCATTGAGGTTCATTATTAACCATTGACACCGGTTCAATTCCATCCGCTGCTCCGCTTTGTGTTTCATTTGTAGGGCTGCAATGCAATAACAAGCGCACATATTCTAAGAGACAATTGGCCCCATACCATACGGCTCATCCCTTTAAAGAATGGATATCAGTCACCATCAGAAAAACCCCACTGGAAATAAGTCGTCGAACTCTCATTAGTTATCATTTATGTTCACACTGTAGGCCTATATAGAATTCAATCCACATAATGTATGAGAACTTGGACATAAGTACCACGTTTTTTATAATTTTTATGGAAAAAAGTATTTACATAAAAAAAAGAACAATTGCTTATGTGATGATCGTTAGTTAGTAGCTTTTAACATCTCCATTCACAACAATGGTACAAATTGTAACGAGATTTTTGGGCAGTATTTATTGACAGACACTGTGCAGATTCGATATATATTAAAATATCGTTTAAGATTGCTGCAAGGATCGATTGAATGGCGCCACCGTCCGTGTCGGAGATAACGCTAGGGGTATGCTGACTAATGCCGTATGTGGAGAGCCAATAAAAGTTGGCACCAGCTCCGTGATTATTCGAGAGTGCACACTTAAAGGACAATACGTTAGTGTTTCGCTGAAGAACCAATACCTGACGCTTTGTGAGGTCGAGGTTTTTGGAGAAGGTATGGATATAATTTTTTTTACTATGAACAGATGGATGATGAATGAATGTATGTATGAATGAAAGAATGGATTAATAAATGAAAGCATGAATGAATGAAGAGTACTATTTCATGGTACAAGCATATTAAGGCAAACTCAGAATATAAATGCTACACCTGTCCCTTTGTCACCACCACCAGCGCAACATATTTAGAATTGTGTAGGCATTGTGGTTTCTATCTCAGTAGATATAACACGACCTGACACTTTAACTGGTAACTATTTCTTTTATGGAAATAAGCCTATAGAGTATAACAGTCGCGTCGTCACAAAACCAGGTGACCCCTTTGTTGTCGATCAGACGTTGGTTACCGTTCATTACGCCTAAATGACTTCATAATCTTAATGGTTTAGAATAGGCTTTCTGGAATAGGCTTTTTAAAACCTAATAGTTTACCATCAAAATGTACTAAAAACAGAAAAGCTCACATAATTTGTTATCGAACACACATTTAATTATGAATTAAAATTTACAAAGAAAAATAAGATACAACACCTTAAAATTTACGATAGAAATTGTGGTCAATGGTTTGTCAGTGCTAAAACTGGCGTCCGGTTGAACGCATTTTGTGTCGCCGATAGCAACGGAGTAGTATCACGTGATATATTGGTATCGTGACGTAACACTGTAGTACTCTATAATTATGGAAAAAGGAAAATGAGAGACTTTTCAAAAATATTAATAGATCATATCACATTACAAATACTATTTATTATTGTTATTATTCAGATGTCGAAGTTTTATTCTTGTGACCAGGTTACATTGGCGGATCTGGGGGTTAGGGCGCTTAGCAAAATAAAAATTACGTTTGGTGCGGCGCTTATTCGAGGGCTTAAAATAAAGTTTACATCTTAGATTTTGAAGGCGAAATTACAAGAAAATACTGACTATTGTAATTGTTTGAGAATTGACGGTACTATAAATGTATAAGAGACAGGAATTAGGATAAAACACCTTAAAATTTACGATAGAAATTGGGGTCAATAGTTTGTCAGTGCTAAAACTGGCGTCCGGTTGAACGCATTTTGTGTCGCCAATAGCAACGGAGTAGTATCACGTGATATCGTGACGAAACACGGTAGTACTCTATGGATCAAATAGCGTCTACTTACAATAAACATAAACACAGTCTTTGCTTATTTATGTGGTTTTTAAGATGATGTAAGGGTATATAAGATGTAAGGCCAGTATTTATGTGTCTATTAATATTGGGTAGGACAATACTTGCTAACTCAACCCAAAGTATTTGTTAAATCAACACAAAAAGTACCTTCTTTTAAAAGTGTTTAACAATACGTTAGTGTTTCGCTGAAGAACCAATACCTGACGCTTTGTGAGGTCGAGGTTTTTGGAGAAGGTATGGATATAATTTTTTTTACTATGAACAGATGGATGATGAATGAATGTATGTATGAATAAAAGAATGGATTAATAAATGAAAGCATGAATGAATGAATGAAGAGTACTATTTCATGGTACAAACATATTAAAGGAAACTCAGAATATAAATGCTACACCTGTCCCTTTGTCACCACCACCAGCGCAACATATTTAGAATTGTGTAGGCATTGTGGTTTCTATCTCAGTAGATATAACACGATCTGACACTTTAACTGGTAACTATTTCTTTTATGGAAATAAGCCTATAGAGTACAACAGTCGCGTCGCCACAAAACCAGGTGGCCCCTTTGTTGTCGATCAGACGTGGGTTACCGTTCATTACGCCTAAATGACTTCATAATCTTAATGGTTTAGAATAGGCTTTCTGGAATAGGCTTTTTAAAATCTAATAGTTTACCATCAAAATGTACTAAAAACAGAAAAGCTCACATAATTTGTTATCGAACACACATTTAATTATGAATTAAAATTTACAAAGAAAAATAAGATACAACACCTTTAAATTTACGATAGAAATTGGGGTCAATGGTTTGTCAGTGCTAAAACTGGCGTCCGGTTGAACGCATTTTGTGTCGCCAATAGCAACAGAGTAGTATCACGTGATATCTTGGTATCATGACGTAACACTGTAGTACTCTATATGGAAAAAGGAAAATGAGAGACTTTTCAAAAATATTAATAGATCATATCATATTACAAATACTATTTATTATTGTTATTATTCAGATGTCGAAGTTTTATTCTTGTGACCAGGTTACATTGGCGGATCTGGGGGTGAGGGCGCTTAGCAAAAAAAAAATTACGTTTGGTGCGGCGCTTATTCGAGGGCTTAAAATAAAGTTTACATCTTAGATTTTGAAGGCGAAATTACAAGAAAATACTGACTATTGTAATTGTTTGAGAATTGACGGTACTATAAATATATATATATATATATATGAATATATATGAGTATAATTTGCCAGGTGGTAAATTCTCTGTTATTTTTACAGAGTTGTTGACTATTAAAGGGCTTAAAGCCACGCAGAGTTCTCTTGGATGGGAGGGTATCCCAGTTAGAGCAATTGATGGTAACTTTGATACCAACTACGGCGAAAAAAGCTGTACTCACACAAGTAAGTGCACACACACGTTTGAAGCAATGCTTTGAGAGGAACATAGGCCCTATGCCTAAAATAAAGTTACAGGTTCTTTTAGATTCACTAGAGCACCAATATTGACAATAATTAACAATAACATTAATATAGATAGATGATAACAATAACAATACTGTAATAATAATAATATAATAATAATAATAATAATAATAATAATATCTTTTTCATTAATTGTTAGTCTTTTTTGTAATTAATTTTTAACTTTAAATTTGATGTAATTAAGCTATATGCTCCGTATCCAAAATCCAATGAAATTGAAATTTAAAAAAATTAAATATTATCAATAATATTTATACTAATAATAATTTTATAATATTAGTATTAAACCTAATAGACGTAGTATTGATTCTCTCTAACATCTAGTGAAGCAACCTGAAAATTGGTGGATGGTGGATCTAGGAAAGTCCTACAGGGTTAAAGAAGTAAAAATTTACAATCGAGCAGGTATGTGTTCACGAGCACATTATAGGATGTTTCCATATACAATTTGCTAGCAATAACACCATTGAGGTTCATTGTTAAACTTTGATACATATCGAAGCAGCTCCTCTTTGTTTTACGGGTTGCAATGCAAGTTTATAAAAAGCGCACCATATTCTAAAAAAGACCATTGGCCCCATACGGCTCATGTGCACGTTAACGAACAGTTTCAGTCCAGTGGCTCTGCCAGCGGGGGCAGGGGGCAAGATGTGTATAAGAGACCGTATTTATACTAATAACAATCCCCCCGCCGGACAGAGCTCGTCGGGCAGTCAGACCATAAAAATTATAACAATAGTCCCACACTAAGCCAAAACATGTCTGCCACAGCCTGAGAGTGCCATCTCCGGCCATCCAGACAATTCTTCCTATAACATCTAGTGAAGCAACCTGAAAATTGGTGGATGGTGGATCTAGGAAAATCCTACAGGGTTAAAGAAGTGAATATTTACAATCGAGCAGGTATGTGAACACGACCACATTATAGGATGTTTCCATATACAATTTCCTAGCAATATCATTGAGGTTCATTATTAACCATTGACACCGGTTCAATTCCATCCGCTGCTCCGCTTTGTGTTTCATTTGTAGGGCTGCAATGCAATAACAAGCGCACATATTCTGAGAGACAATTGGCCCCATACCATACGGCTCATCACTTTAAAGAACGGATATCAGTCACCATCAGAAAAACCCCACTGGAAATAAGTCGTCGAACTCTCATTAGTTACCATTTATGTTCACACTGTAGGCCTATATAGAATTCAGTCCACATAATGTATGACAAC